AAGAAAACAACCAAGCTCAGAGAACCCCAAGGACTCCACAGCAACCCTGAGCTACACATATTCTCTTCTATTAATATAACAAAGAGCTCAACAGCCAAGAAGTTAGTCCTACTGGATGTAGGGGAAGTTAATTATGAATATCCAGATTTAGGTTTGGGCTGCATATCTTTCAAGTCTGGAAACTGATTAAGTACTTCTCCCCCTCAGAAAGACTGAAGCCATCAGAATATACTTCCTATTGAATTTTGATACTTTTCAAAGAGATGTTACCTTCTTTATCCTCCCACTCACTTACATCTGCTTGCCTTACTCACTCTCCTTTCTGATTTTTTTTTTTTTTTTTTATGAAAGGCAAAGCTGTGTTTGAAGGATAACTTCGGAGCAAAAATTAATCACATATTTTTTTTCAATTAGAGGAACTTCAAATAAATAAATAAAATAATAAAATGTGTGTGAGCTTGGTTGTTTTCTTGCAAACGTTTCATTACCTAGCTGGGTAACATCTTCAGTGCTAGAATGGAATGGGGTTTGCAAACCCCATTCTTTGTTATATTCTTAGGGGTGAATACTTATACCTATTTCCTTGCTCAACTACATTGACCATAATGGAGCTTCCTTTTAAGTCAAATGGCAGGTCTATGCTTGTTGATCAATGCAGATTCTAATTCTGGCATTCAAAGGCTTCTGTCAATGTCATATTTGAGTCAGAGTCTTATTAGTTTCATATCATTTAAACTTTCCTTATAAGAATCCTTACATATATCATGCTGTAATCAGTGAGTTTAGTTTCTCACAATTGCCTCTCCACCCTGATTTCCTCCAGATGTTTTGGGACTACAGCTCCCCAAATTCCCAGCCAGCATGGCTGATGTGACTGCAAATAAGAATGAGACATCCATTCTTTTTGCTGCATTAGAAAAAGAGAAGAGATCAACAGGATGAAATAGGATCCAACAAATAAAGATAAAATACAGAAAAATCATTTGTAGGAATGTTTCACTAGAACAGGCAATTAGCACAAAAAGTTGATGGTGACTACCATCAACTTTCTGAGGCCTTCAACAATGAATCAACCCTGAGCAAATTACTAATGGACACCCAGTCACAACACTGAGAACATCTTCACAAGCAACCACCTTCCATTTGCAAGTGTGCTTTTTGTCCAGTGCTAAATTTGTTTGGACTGGCTAAAGGGCTTCCTACATGGGCAAAAGATCAAGATCTAATGAACATTGTAAAGGACTCAGCAAGAAGCATAAACACAGCCAAGAACATAAGATGCCAGAAGAGTCTAGAAAAGGGTTGGCAACAGTATACCGCAAGACTGGTAGCTCAGAAATTGGAGAGTTTTGTAGCCTGAACAACTGGAATCCCACCCGAGGTCATCTGCTCCCACGGAGAGCTGCTGTTCTCACATAGTCCTTTTACCCCTGAAGAGAGCCCTATTTCTGAGACCCTCAGATGGGATTTCAGTGTCAAATGTCTGCTCGGTCTAATGCCAACACTTTCTAGAACCAAGAATTACTTTGACTCAGATGGAAACATCTGGAAATTGATATCCAAGATATCATGGAATGACTGGCTGCTCTCACACAACTGTCTAGCATGCATGGTAAGTGGGTTGGTGTTTTTCATGAAGCCATAATGTGGTATGTTTGGACTAGGGTGATATTCAAATCCAGCTATTGTGGATATTACACAGTCATATTGTTTATGACTTGTGTGAAGCAAACCATTGTGGCTTACAGGATAGGTAGATAAACAGATAAATGGAGGTGTTATAATATAAACTTTCTGTTTATGCATGCATCAGTTTATATTATAACGCCTCCATTTATCTGTTTATCTACCTATCCTGTAACCTTGAAGTAACCTTGAGAATGCAAAAAGCATTGCCATTTTATTAAAAATGGAAATATCCTGAATTATTTTTTCTGTTACTCTACGAAACCCAAATAAGTACAGCTTCGCAAGTATCTACTGGCTATAGCTTTCTGAGCAGTTTTTCTCTAGTGGCAGAGCC